AAAGCCAGCTGCGCCAAAAGAATACCGATGAATTGAGAGTCGGTTGAAGAAAGCCAGCTGCGCCAAAAGAATACTGATGAATTGAGAGTCGGTTCAAGGAAGCCAACTGTGACCCAAAAAAAAGCTGTAAGAGATATTTTACCGATGAATTGAGAGTCGGTTGAAGAAAGCCAGCTGCGGCAGAAAAATAAGTTGGAAGAGATATTTGAGTTTCGTGAATAGTAGGAATCCAGTTTGTGAATAGTACAAAACCAGATTAGTGTGAAACGCAAGGTGCGAGAATGAACAGTGTATCGCTCATCCCCTCTTTTAATATAGTAGTGATTATGTCTAATTTCCTCTTTTTGAATTGTTTCCCTAAGAGAAAAGGCTGTTTGCCACAACCACAAGGTTCCCTATATTAATGGGCTTTTGTATGTTCGAATGAAGCCAAGGCCATAAATTAGGTGGATCAGACTGTTCAAGAAAGATGGACTCCAAGGTGGAGGATTTTAAGCTCTAAAATTACTAGTAAAATGTAAATGGCCCGAAAAGAGTATAGTATAGGATTAAAGAAGGTTTCCTTCAGAGAAAATTGACACATATAACATTAAGCCCGTGTTTGGATTCCATTTCTTAAAACTCAATACTTATCATTTCAATAAAATAATTTACAGATAGATTCATAATATTTCCCTACCTTCTAATCAAACATTCTTAAGAAAAATCACTTTCCATAAAATTTATACTAAAAAAAATCTCTATCAAACATGAACTAACTCTTGATTGGCTCTCATTTTTTAAAAAAATCATTTTTTTTTAAATTCATTTTCAACCACACATTAAGTGGGATGCACAACTTTTAAATCATGCGTTTCATCAATTTTTATTAAAATCTACTAAAAATCTGATTTTTAGCTAAGTAATTAAAAACTTTTTGTTCAGAGATTTTTGGTTTTAGGAGCCTAAGCTACCCAAGCTGCAAGCTCGAGTTATGGGAATCACCTCGCATAAGACAAACATTCAATCGTAAAAGGTAAGCAATGAATAATTAATATAGTTTTTCAAAAAAACAATTAATTAATTAATGAATAAACACCAACATATTTCATGTCATTTGTGTTGACATCAAATCAAATATAGGACCAAAGAAAATAAGACAAAAACACATGATCACGAGTCGAAACATTCTTGAATAAACTTCTAAATTGGCTGCCGGCTGAGATTTGATGTCTATTTAATTAATTTGACATTTTAATTATTTATTGATGCCAATTTTTATGTTAAAACTATTTACTTTACATTATTCTAACAATTGAAGTGTCCCCATAGAGTAGTGAATTATTGATAGCTTTAACCAATAATTATAGTGCAAATTCATTGGACTTTCACTATGTTTCAAAGAATTTAAAGCGTTCCTAACTAGTGGTAGCGTCAATGTTAAGTATACCAAGGTAAAAAAATTGTCTTGGAAATG